TCGTAATGGCTGGGTCAATACTCCAGAGTTACGGCCTCGGAAAATGGGCGCCGCCAGAGAATCGGTCGACCAGAAAGCACGACGCGAAAATAAACTCCCTCCCGGCGAGGATGTTGTGCTCGTCGAAGAGTAATTCTAGGCGGTCCAAGTCAAGAAAAGTCGGAAATATAAAACCCGAGGTTCGACTTCCCGCCCCGGCCATCACGGCGGGTCGTGAAAGTTACATCCGAGTAATGCAGGCCATCAGACGCCGCCTCAATTGAGGAGGCTGGCGGCCCTAAACGCCCCGGTCGTTGTGGGCGACTTACATACCTGTTCGTGCAGATAATCAGCCTTAACGACTGACCTCCGTCGCTTTATTTTTACAGCCATTTCACCGACGAAATCCGACGTCTAGTAGATGGTGTAAATGGCTTTATTGTCGTCAGGTTATTGAGAAGTCGGTTTTATGTTCGGAAACTGCTGACCCTCAATCGAACGCCGCCGCCTCCGAGCTGCGCCGCGGACGCCTGTCCCTCGCCCTCCCTGCTTTCCGGCCGGCGATCTGATTCCTGCTGCGATCTGCTCGCGAGACGTCCCTCTTACAGATCCCCCACGCGCGGCGCCTCCTCAGAGGAATGCAATGCGTCTTCGAAGTGTTTCTCCTCATGATGGGAATATTATTTAAATCTGTTTCATTCTACCGCTTTTCTCGCTTTCTCTTTTTTTTTTACATTTATCCATCAATATTTCTCTCTCTCTCTCTCTCTCTCTCTCTCTTTCTCTCCCTCCCTCTCTCTCTCTCTCTCTCTCTCTCTCTCTCTCTCTCTCTCTCTCTCTCTCTCTCTCTCTCTCTCTCTCTCTCTCTCTCTCTCTCTCTCTTACTTTTTATTCTCATAGGAGAAATGTTTCCTAACTATGTTACAGCTCGACAGCCACAAATATATCCAACAATTGTAGCAGTTTCTCGGCCTTGACTCTTACAGTATCTTAAAGTAAACTTTCTTAAAGTAATTTGAATTCTCGCTGTAGTCATTCTTTTATGAAACGTAACGGTAGGATGCCCATACTTTTTGTCGGATCAACTCTTCTGTCTTTAGCATATATGCATATATATATATATATATATATATATATATATATACATATACATATAGATATATATACGCATATACATACAAACATGTATATATATACATATACATATATATATATATATATATATATATATATATATATATATATGTGTGTGTGTGTGTGTGTGTGTGTGTGTGTGTGTGTGTGTGTGTGTGTGTGTGTGTGTGTGTGTGTATGTATACATATGTGTGTGTGTGTGTGTGTGTGTGTATATATATATATATATATATATATATATATATATATATATATATATATATATATATATATATTTGTATGCATGTAAATGTATGCATGTACCATGCATATATGTATACGCGTGTGTGGATGTGTGTGGCATATACGTATGTGTGCGCGTTTCCAAATGTAAAATGTATTCAACTGTATTTTCCCTTTAGCCTATAATTATACAGTTCGTCCCCAAGACTACAATGAAGGCACCTCTCTCACCCTCTTTATTCCAGCTTCTGCGAGGAACATTTTCCCTCCGCTTTCCCTCCCCGACAGGAGACGCTGCAAATGTTTTCCCTGATTCTCCAAGCGAACAGCAGTTAGCTTCCTTTTATCGTGTGTTCATCCTGTGTCTGAAAGTTTAGAAGTAAGAGCGTTTGTTCATTTTATGTTCCTCCCTGCAGCGATCACCGAAAGTTCAATTTCCTTCGCCACTTCCTCGGAACGCCGTCTCCATCCTCGTCGTCGTCTTTCTTTCTTCTTTCTCTCGTTTTTGTTGTTGTTTTGTCTTGTTTTGTTTTTTATTTAGGTTTTGTCCTCTTCTCTTCACCGGTTCTTTTGATATTTCACTACACACGCTGTACCCCTTTGTGGGATTCTCGACTTTCTGATTTTTTTTCTTTTCTTTATTCATATTTCCTTGTAAAGCGCTACATCTCCATTATCTCTCTCTCTCTCTCTCTCTCTCTCTCTCTCTCTCTCTCTCTCTCTCTCTCTCTCTCTCTCTCTCTCTCTCTCTCTCTCTCTGTCGTTCTCTCCTTCTGATATATATATATATATATATATATATATATATATATATATATATATATATATATATATATATATATATACATATATATATATATATATATAAATTGCCTATTTATTCATCATTTATCAATTCATTCTTTTTATTTACCTTCCTATTTACTTATGTTTGTCTGTCCATCTGCCCAACAATCTATCAGTCTGTCTTTCTATATAGCTATCCATTTGCTGATCCGCCTCTCCTCTGTCTCCATCCCTCTCTCTCTTCTTTACGCTCTCCTGCTCTATGAAGTCCTCCTTTTCCCCCTCTTCCTTCGCCCCCCCCCCCTTCTTCCTTGCAATCTACATTCCGCCAAAGCCCAGTTCTCTTCTTTTTCGTCTCTCCTCCACCTTACTTTCTCTT